AATAATAACCTCAAAAAAAAAATAAAAAGATGAGTAATAGGTAAAACGCAAATGATTTTTAATTAGTGGAATTATTCTGCATAATATGGTATCTGATAACATTACATACTTACATAAACCTGAAGATGTGTACAATAGAAATAAAAAAACTATGGGCTCTGATCAATAAACATTTATCAATCTTTGTCAATTATAATTAATGTACCATACTAATCTAATACACTGAAAGCAGAGCAGCTGCTTAACTGCCCAGTAGAGTTTCTTCTGTTAATTTGTAAAAAGAAAAGAACTTTTACCATAGGAAAATAAACATTGAGATTTAGCCACTACAGAAAGATATTGCCTTAAAGGAATGATAAAAATGAATTAAAACTGTAAAGAACTGTGAATTATCCTATGGGGATCACATGTGGACATACATAAGAGGGGTATAATGAGATAATGATAAAAGTAATTTTGTGTGAGATCAAAAAACTTGTATTTTATTCTAATAAAAGGAAGTAAACAATAGACATCTTAAAAATGGACAGCATGGGTAAACAAAAAGGCACAGGAAGAATGTTGAGGAAGACAGGGTGGTGCTATTGAAAGTTATGATGCCTAGTATCTCTACAGAAATGTAAAGACATTTTGGAGGTCAACCACCAAGTCAAATCAAAGGAGAATATACAAAGAGAATTAGAGAATTACTGATTTTATACTTTTAATAGGAATAGTTAGAATACTAACTTATATAATAGTTCATACTAACTTATATAATGTCCTTGGGATTACATTGAATGAAATGACCCATTTTGGATGACTTTTTATAAAAAGATTTGCCACTATTAGCAAGCTATTAAAAGTCTAGAACACATCTGACATATGAATAAGTGAGCCAGATTACTGGGGTGTGTGTACTATTGATAGATTTTAATTCAGTGTCTTCAGCTTTAAGGAATGCCTGATTTGTATAATTTGCTATTCATTTTAATGTGTATTTATATTTAAGCAGTTGTACAAAGGAGTTGACATGTAGCAGTCCTATGTGAATACAATGCATCTTTGTCTATGTCACCTTGTTTGACATTATCAGTCTAACCCAACCCATCCCTTCTCCCAATTTTCTTAGTTTTGTAGAATATGTTTTAAAGTTTATGACTGCATTCTCTCCATCTTACTCTCTGTATTCACCTACTCCCTCCCTTTTTAAGTACGAGTTTCCTGGTGTTTATTTTGTTAGCCTCTAAATTAACCCTTCTAAGGAACTACAGCTTTTGAGTTCTCCACTGAATCCCCCATATTTCAGTTAATATAGTTGCAATTAGTTTATGCTTTATATGTAGTACTCATGCAAGGTCATTGTTAAACAGGCTTGTAATATAAATATTAGCTTGGCATCTTGAACCTTATAGTCAATTGATGGTGTTATTGCAGATCATGATTCAAAATTGTGACTTGAATGTTCTTTGTGGATATTTGAAATGCCAAATGGATTATATTTTTAAAACTGTAATTGGACTGTTAAATTTTGTTTGTAGTTAGTATTTGATTTGCATGTCAATTGGTCTCTAAGTAAATATATCTCTTGATATGACCAGATGGTGTCTGTGTGTCTCAGAAAATGTTTGGTGAATGAGGAAATCTTATTACATTGTGAATGGAAGTGTGAATAACAGACTTATTTAAACATTTGAATGGCAACCTTGACACTGATGGCCACCTTCCATCTATAGTTTGATCAATCTGTGACTGTAATCCTGGATATGTAAAGAAGAAGTCTAAAATTATTTTAGATTTGAGATAACTAAGAGTGTTATGCAGAAACGTATTTGGATAATTGTATTTATACTGAGCATAATGTGAAGGTTTTAGAAGAAAGATAAACCATGTTTACTATGTGTACTGAAATCACTTTATCATGATACTATAAGCTGTATGATGTGTAAAACATATAAACAAACATGTTCATCTAAGTAAATTTACCTGGCTGAGAACAAACTATTTGAAAAGAGAGTGTGTTCTGTATATAATTGATTATATTGGCTTTCTCTTTTTGTGCCTGGCTTATTTCACTTAGCATAATGGCTCCCAGGATGATGAGTATTAGGAGGAATGCATATGTTAGATATATGTATACTCATATACACATACATATATATATAAATATGTACATGCATACAAGTATTATGATATCAGTTTATAGTCATAAATACAGAAGTTATGATTTGTTAATTTATGCAAAACATATAACAAAAAGAATCTCAGCTTTCAACTGAGATTCAGCTCTGGCAATGTAAAATATAAAGGTGGGTTTTTCTTGACTACGTCTGACTTGAAAGAAAACACATTAAATATATCAGTATTTTCATTATTAGAACTATATCAAGGAATTTTAAAACGTAGTATTTTTTCCCTTGGTTGAGAGAAGAACTGGCCAAACTAAAGAGTGTTCAGAAGGCAAAGATAGAAAGCCAAGGGAGGGAACAATAAGCTTGGGTAAATCTGCAAGTAAGATTCAAGAACACATGCAGATCAAAGATAAAAGGGAGTAAAGCAGAAAGTTCACACAGGTTATGAGTACCCAAAAGGTTATAAGAGAATTATCTCTGACTTTGTAGAATTTAGCCAATAGCAGAGTGAATCAATATAAGCTTTGACATTACACTTACTTTATCCAAACTATGCATTTACCTTTAAGTCACCAGATGACCTAGTGAAAACAATTTCATCAATCTCAGTTTCTCCATTAAAAAAAATAACAAAAAGACTTCCCTTTCTGGTATATGCTAAGTAAACAGGCAACAACTTTCTATTGCCTTTGTTAAGTTATGATAATGAAGTATAGCAGGTGATTACATAGATGTACTGTGGACATTTATATAGTTATTTATTATTGAGTTAAAAGTTAATATCATTTAAAGTAAATGCTTGTCATTTCTTCAGCTTCATAATAAAAATTGATCTTAGAGACAATGATTTCAAACATCTTCATAGATGATAAAGGAAGAACTTGAATGAAATGGGCAATTCAAGTAATGGCTTCTTTTCACCTGGGAAGAAAATTTTGAATTCAGTATTGTAAGCAATGTATTGGAAACTTCTCTGATAACTTATTAATTTGGGAATAGTTTCCTCTAGCTGATACATTTGGTTTAGAAGATTTCTTCTAAAAACAATTTTGAGTTCGGGAGATATAAGTATACAATGATAGGGGAATTTTCTTGATCTTCCATGGGCTATAGAGTTAGAGAGAGAGAAGAAAATGTTACTGTTCCATGCAGAATTTAAGTTTCTTTGGTCCTTATGAACCACTTGTGATAGTACATTTTATGACTGTCAGAAAGAATGGGGACAGTTTACATATCTTGGAAATTCCTTTAATGGGGATGATCACATTCATTCAGTATGGGAGGTGTGCTAGATAGATAGATAGATAGATAGATAGATAGATAGATAGATAGATAGATAGATAGATAGATAGATAGATAGATCACAGTATTCTCCATGCATTTCGTTATAGTTTGAAATCTACTATCATTGTTGCAATTAGGAAATGGACTTTTAAATTAACATCAATTCTTCCTTCTTGCCTCAATTAAAATTCATTGCATTTAAAATAAGTTTTTTTTCTATGAAACATACTGTTAAGAGAATAAAAGAACTAGAGAGTGGGAAAAATTCTTGTCCTAAAAATAAGTGTTTGAATGATGGTATTACTTCAGCTGTTGTTCTGAGGAATGAGATTTAAGGAGCCTCTGAAAACACTTCCTATAAATCCTCCAGTATCTTTCTGCTGTGATATGACAGGCTAAAAAAGATGAAAAGGAAGAAAATTAGATATTATTAATAGTCGATGATTGCATGTAGGGCCAACATAAATGTTGACAATAACAAAATTTCTATAGCCTGTAATAATTTAGAAAAATTATAGACGAAGATGTTTTCAAACATCTGTTAAAGATTACTAGTTTCTGGGCTTCTGTCCAAAATAGGGCAATATTACCATAAATGCAGTAGTTTAAAATATATTGTGGAGTGCTTTGAGTTATTTATAACCATGTTTGTATCTAGAATATTAGACTATGTTTTTCTAGACTATGCTTAAATTCATTTCCTCTAGCAAACATGTACCTAATAAAGAATAAATATATAAGATGACTTTGATTTGATACCTTTTACATGACAACGTATCTCTGGGTATATTTAAAATATGTGGAAATTATTTCAATTTAACTAAGAAAACATATAGAATTCGACAATATTGATATTTGTTTCTAACATGGTAAACAGTTTTGTATTTTGATAAGAATGTTAATTTTTTATTTATTTTTATTTTTATTTTTGTCTGTCATGGGCCTGAATCTTAGCCTGGGCGCTGTCCCTCAGCTCTTCAGCTCAAGGCTAGTGCTCTACCACTTGAGCCACAGTGCCACATCTGGCTTTTTTCTGCTTATGAAGTGCTGGGGAATCGAACCCAGGGCCTCATGCACATAAAGCAAGCACTCTACCACTGAGACACCTTCCCAGCCCCACGAATATTAATTTTACTGACAAAACCTTCCAAATTAGTGATAACTATATTGTATCTAAAGGTTAAAAAGGTTCCAAATATGCTAACTATCATCTTGCCTTGCCAGCACCCTACTAGACTTTTGAAAAAAATTAGGCTAGAAATGATCAAAATATGTATGTAAAATGATTTAAAAAGGAAGTTGATTGCCATTTGTTAAATGTCAATGTTTGTCATAAATATTTTTGCTTAATTTTTAGGCAAAATGTTGCATCATAAATATTTTGAGAAAAGGAATACCAAAATATACTTACATGTTAAAGTTTGTGAATGTGAGAACATTTTAAAAAATATTAAACAAATAAAATCGTATAGATACTATTCCTGGCCCAAAGAGATACTAGGAAAAAACAAGACAATGTTTTAAAAAACCAACAAGAATAAAATTTTAAAAACCAACTTCTGAGCATCATAGCATACAAACTTTAATGTGCACTGTCTCTTTTAGGGCTGGATCTGCCATTTATGATGATGCCTCATCCTCTACTTCCAGTCAGCTTACCTCCTGCATCAGTTGCCATGGCAATGAATCAGATGAACCATCTTAATACTATTGCCAACATGGCTGCTGCAGCCCAGATTCACAGTCCACTTTCCAGAGCTGGTGCCTCTGTTATAAAGGTAAGAATCATTATTTTGAAGAGAACAGAAGTGTTAATTACATTTAAACCAAGATAAAATGTCAGCTATACCACTGATGATTCATTAGCACACACAGCTCATTGACTCAGTTATGCAGAATTCTTGAGTTTGGTTTCTGACTAGGCCTGCCAGTTTTTTTTTCTTTTTTTTTTATTATCTAGCCACAACTTTCTGTTTTATTCTAGTTTCTTATGTAGAAATCATACTATGTGTGAGACATGGCCAAATGAATGACTGAATACAACAATGTGCAAAAAACATTCTCACTCCTGGAGGGAAATAAAGACTATGCACTCTCCTGGAGTTTGATAGGCATTTGTCAGGTCTGATACATCATTCAGGACTTATAGTCAGTCAGACTTGCATCTCAATTTTGGTTTACGGCTGATTGGCTGGATAACACACTTAGATACACACTTACGCGCCACATGGGATTGTTCCACTGTAAAATGAAGGGCTTAATAATTATCCATGTCACTCACTTCATTAGTTTTCTGGAGACAATACTAGTATTTCTTTTTTTATTGTGAAAATACTGTACAGAGGGGTTACAATTACATGGGCAAGATAATGAGTACATTTCTTATCAAGCATTGTAGCCTCCTCCTTTGTTTCCCCTTCCCATCCCTTCCAATCCTCCCCCCACCCCCCCACCCATTCCTCCTCCTCCCCCACCAAAGTTGTAAAGTTTGTTTTCAACATAACGACTTGTACATCTCATTGTTGCAATGGGTCCACTTGTATCCCTATTTAAACAATTTGTTTTTTTCCTTCCCCTCCACAAATTATACCCACATCAAATACAGTGAAAGCAGGGGTTATACTGTGGGGGAGGGACATACAAAGCAACAAAGAAATAATCTTATAAATGTGTTAGAAAAAATCACCTGAAAGAAAAAAAAAACATTTGAATACATATCTTAGGGTTAATTTCCCTAACATCAACTTATCTGACCTTTTCTGCTTGACTCAGACATATACTAGATATTGCAAATAAGGGAAACCATGGGACCTATCTTTCTTTGGGCCTGGCTTACTTCACTTAATATAATTTTTTCCAAGCCTTTCCATTTCCTAATAAATGGGGCAATGTCATTCTTTCTAATGGAGGCATAGAATTCCATTGTGTATATATACCACATTTTCTTGATCCATTCATCTACTGAGGGGCATCTGGGTTCGTTCCATATCTTAGCTATGGTAAATAATGCTGCAATAAACATAGTCGTGCTGGTAGCTTTAGTGTGGTCATGTTTGTGAACATTTGGATAAATGCTCAAAAGTGGGATTGCTGGGTGCTAGTATTTTTTTGGGGGGGGGTCCGGTTGTAGGGCCTGAACTCTGGGCCTGGGAGCTGCCCCTCAGCTCTTCAGCTCAAGGCTAGCGCTCCACCACTTGAGCCACAGCACTACTTCCGGCTTTTTTCTTTTTTGCTTATGTGGTGCTGAGGAATCGAACCCAGGGCCTCATGCATGCAAGGCAAGTGTTCTACCCCTGAGCCACCTTCCCAGCCAGAGTGCTAGTATTTCTTAAAACCTGTGAATCAATGAACAAATACTTATAATATTTATCACCTTTTATTATCTTTATAATATATCTTATCGTCATCATCTTTAGAATATGTTTTTCTGAATTATGGCCATTGGACAACATAATACAAAGAATAATTATAATTACTGTATTTCCCATTATTTTTGCACAGTCTCTATCTTCCCAAATACCACATGAACTAGACTTTCAAATATTATTTTCTTTTGTTGAGTTGATGATACGCATAGGATCTAATGCATACAGTTAATCAATAGTACTCCATCAATATCCTCTTGTCTCCTTGTTTATTCAACAAATATTAAGATCTTGATATTTACATGTTATTATATTAGACCATATGAGAAACTGATAAGTAGAACATACAAAGGGATTCTAAGAGCTCACAGAGCATATGTGACTTTTGTACACTGGATGTCTACTCTAGGCTTGTATGTTGGTTCATGCCTGTAATCCCATTTATGTGATAGGCAGAGGTAGTAGAATTGGGATAAGACACCAGCTTAATCCAGAGACCCTATCTAACAATTAAAAAGGAAGCAAAAGTGCAGAGAAATAGTTCCAGTGTTAGAGCAGTGACATAGCAGGCACTAGGTCCTGAGTTCTAACATCAAAGTGAAGGAGAGAAAACCCCAGTGTTATGAATAATAAGCAAAAACAACCAAAGAATTTAAAAGGACAAATGATCACTACCCTGAAAAGTGATTAGTCTGGGATCAAGAAATGCTTTAGGGTTGGTATTCTGAGCATTCCTACCCCCACCCCCGCCACTTTAAAATTGGCTTCTGGTTTAGGATTGGGGTTTCTAAAACATTGTAGAAAATTTAAAGCTTAAACTTCATAGGCTAGGAAAAATGTGATCATCTTTTTTCTATAAATTCTAAATATGTTCTAATAGTCAAAGTCTCTAATTATGTTATTGTTTTGATGGGTTAGTATATATCCTAGTTATTCGAATACTGATCCAGAGTTTAAATTGGTTATTAGAATTATTTTCAAGAATGATGGATAAGAAATGTACTCATTACCTTGCTCATGTAACTGTAACCCCTCTGTACAGTATTTTCACAATAAAAAAAACTTATTTAAAAAAATAAAATTACCCCTGGGCATTATTTAAAAGACTTAATAAGTTTCTGTGATTTTCAAAAATAGACATCTGTTAAGAAAATATAACCTAACGTGCAAATTGAAAGTCTATTAAAAAACAAAAGCATACTTTAAAGAAATGATATTGTCATACTTGTTTTATAATAATAGGAAACTGTAATATAAGCATGTTTATGACTCCTCAAAATTACATTTGATTAGTTTTCAAAAGAACTGTTATTCAGACTGGATTTGCTACTCTTTGTAGACTATTTGGAATTTAGGGTCTCATTCTTGCCATTTTGGCATTGATGGCAGTGATTATGGTCGTAGAAATGGAAAAGATAAGCAGCATCTCCTTAATTCAAATACTGTTTCTTGTTTAACTTTCATCTAACTGTAAGTTTGTTTATTGCTGATTAGTCTATTTCATTTGTAACCATTTTCAAAAGGAAAATCGTTACGATTGCAGATTACCAGCTTATTTAAGTACTGCCAAATGCATAGGAAGCATTTTATAATCGAGTTCAATTATAAGTACTTTCATATGTTTTGAATAAGTTGAAAGAAATGTATTTAATTCAAATACTGTTCAGGAAAACTCACAGAAGTTAAGAATATGAATATCTATCTATCTATCTATCTATATATATATAAAGATATAAAAACAAAATGACTTCAGAGTGTGCAACATGGTGATACTCTATCAAAAAGAAAAAGCATTTCTAGGGGGAAAACAAACGAGGGGGTAACAATGCTCAATAGGAAATGTACTCATTACCTTACTCATGTAACTGTAACCACAATATACAGTATCTTTACAATAAAAATATATATTAAAAAAGAAAAAAGAAAAAGCATTTGATTTCAGTCACTAGCAAAACATTTTTAATAAAATTAATAGTTTCATTTGGCAAAAGTGCTTTGTATAATAGGAATTTATTAGCTTTATAAAAACAATAATTTTCGGCAATACCATAATGAAAATCTTCTTTGTTTAAGCATCACAGTACTTTAAAAAATTTAATAATATGATACCAATTACATGCTACCTTGTTATAAAGATAAGTGTTGCATACTCTCATTTGCATTTCAAGAGAATTTGTTTTTACTGGGTTTTTTGGTCAAGCCACTTTGTAGTTCAGTCTATTAGTGCCCTGTAGGTACCAGGCAAACTTAGTATTGGGAATTCATTTGGAAGTAATATTTGTAGGCTCAAAGAATTATTGAGGCAAATTCATTTTCCTTTTCTACATTTGCAAAATTAATTTTTCCTAGCAGTTTGAAATAAAAAAAAAAAAACTTCTTAGTGCCGGCACTGATGGACTACCCCTGTAATCCTAGGTACTCAGGAGGCTGAGATGTGAGGATTGCTGTTGAAAGCCAACCCACACAGGAAAATCCATGAGACTCTTATCTCCAATTAACCACCAGAAAATGGGAAGTGGCACTGTTACTCAAAGTAGTAGAGCACTTGCCTTTAACAAAAGAACTCAGGGATATTGTCTAGGCCCTGAGTTCAAGACCCACAATCGATCCCTTCCCCCCACCAAAATAAGCCCCCCCCTAATTTTTGCATTAGTGTTGCTCATTACAAAAAAAATACTTGTATTTAGTTAATCATGATGTTCATAACTATTTACCATTTAGAGATAAGCTATCCTTCCAAAATATTAATGATCTGAAAAGGTAACATATACTATTTGTAATGGACTGTAAATGCAGAGCTGGTGGTTTATGCTTCTTAATGCTAGATATTTGGGAAGCTACAAATGGGAAGATAATGGTTCAAGGACAGCTTGTGGCAAAAAAGTTTATGAGTCCCTTTCTCAATTCACAACTGGCTGCAATGTCATTCCAAGCTATATGGATCCAGCTCAAAGTCTTCTTTTGAAAATTTTATTTATAAAGTTTTTAGATTGAAAATGAAGCACAATAACTATGGTAATGAAACAAGTTTTCAGAGTCATGTTTTATACCCGTGCCACTCTTGTTTACTATGGCTTGTTTTAAGCTGATGCCTGTGGTCATTCTTGTCACTGATAATCATGAGGCTAAACATTTTTCCCACTGGAAACCAATTGTGCATTATAAATTTTGAATATTAGAATTATGTGATATATAAGTGATATCAAAACAATGAATGACTGAGCCATAAACTACACACTTATTTCTAGCATATACCATTTCTAGTGAAAGTGCCTGGGAATAATTATTCTAATCTTTTTGTTAAAAATTAGGGCCAGACTCTTGTGGCTTACACCTGAAATCCTAGCTACTCAGGAGTCTAAAATCAGAGGATCACGGTTCGAGGCCAGCCAAGTCAAAAAAAAATCCCCATG